CACAGGTGCCCTGAGGGGCCAGGAGCGCTGGAGGGCGGCTTCTCCTGAAAACAAGTGTCTTCACACGTGTCTTCGCGCTGGACTGTGGGCAGGCCGATACAAGGAGGAAACAGTCACGTGAACAAAGACCCACCGCGCACTCTGAGCCTAAATCCGCGACGGACCCCCCCACAGCCAACCCAGCAACAACAACAACCAAGGTTCACAAAAAGCCAAGGCCGAAGACACAGGGAAGCACTGAAGGGCTAACCAAAGCACTGACGCAAACAAGAACAAGAGACGCCCAGACAACGTAAAGCTCGACAACAGAAATAGGCCTGCCCACAGTCCAGCGCGAAGACACGTGTGAAGACACTTGTTTTCAGGAGAAGCCGCCCTCCAGCGCTCCTGGCCCCTCAGGGCACCTGTGCAAACGGAACCTCCTGAGAAAGAGTGCATGGTCCAGCCGGCAGACTCTGGAAAGCTGTGTCCAGGACAGGCTCACCTAGGAAAGGGTGAGGCACCGCTCTGGGCCGAGCCCTCGTACCCTTGGGGGAGGGGAGGGGGGATCCCAGGAACACTCAGCCAGGGCTTTGCCAGAACCTTCCTCAAACTTCCTGTCTTCACAGAGGGCAGGGCTGTGGGCGGGGCGAGGCCTGCAGGAAACAGTCACGCGGCCTCACTGGGCTTTGTTTGCGCAGGCGCACCGGTGGCCCCACCCATCGACGGGGGCGGAGCCTACTGAGGCGTACCTTTTCTCCTCAGAAGCGGTAGCGGCAGCGGCGGCAGCAGAAACAGACAAAGGACCGGCCGCATGGACTCTCAGCACGAGGACGAGGGCGAGGACCAGGGCCATGGCGGAGGCCAGAGCCTTCACGGAGGAGGCCTTGGCGGTGGCAGCGAGGAGGGCTCGGTGGATGCTGGTCAGGGAGCCGACTGCTGCCTCGCGAGCATGGAGGCAGCGTGCGCCGCCACCGAGGCCCAGGGGCCCCCGCCCCCGCCCCCCCCAGAGCTCAGTGGCGACGACAGCGCTCAGGGCGCAGCACCCTGCGGAGGCCAACCGCTTGAGTTGTATCCTTTCTTCGTGCTGGGCGGCCTGGGGGCAGCGGGGAGGGGCGAGGCGGGTGGCCCGGTCACAGTCAGCTTTGTAGACCCTTCACGGCCCGCCAGGTCCCTGACGGTCCATTTCCTGTCCTTCTTGGAGGCCGAAATCGCGCGCAGAAGACTTCTCCCCATGGCGGAGCACCTCGGAGAGGGGGTCCACAAGGAGATCACGGCGAACGACACAGGCCTGACCATGTGAGTTTGCTGGGGGCCCGGGCGGTGGGTGGGGCTGTCAAGTGGAGGAGGCCAGGCACTGACCCCTCTTTCCTCCCGTGTAGTCGCCTGATGGCCGATAACTGGGACCTGCTGCAGATTGCCACCGTCAAACTGGTCTCCCAGCTCTACGTGGTGGTCCAGTCCATGCAGCCCTATTGGTCCTGCTTTCAAAGGAAGCTGGGACCCAGCACGGATAGCTGAGCCTTTGGGTGCCGTCCCCCGCTCTTGTGTCCCTCCGAAGCTGGAAGAGGAGGACGGGTTGGGTGGTAACTCTCTGTCCCAGCTCAAAATAAAGCTGAGATTCTTTAATTCCGAGTCCGGGGTCCCTTCTCTGCACAAAAATAAAGCTGAGATTCTTCTATTCTGAGTCCGGGTCCCTTCTCTTCTGCGGCTCCACGGGGGCGGGGGGCGGGTGGAGGGGCTCTCTGCCCTGGGTCTCGGTGAGAGGGCAGGCCTGGGGCTCAGATATGCAGGCGAGTAAGCTGTACCAAAGACGACTGGGGAAATGGAAAAGGCTGAAGACAAAGCCGTTTGTGCCCCTCCATTCAGCATTCCCTGGAGCATCGCGATGAGTCCACACCGACTCACCGTCGGGGAGTTTGGCTGGCCTTGGCCAGCAATCAGGGAAACCCACCCTTGGAAATATCTACTTGATTAGTTCCACAGTCTCACCCTAGGAGCCCGGGTGTGGGCGTGGCTTAGGAATCGGGCTGCTGATCGCAAGGTGGGTGGGGTGAACCAAGCAGCCTCTCCTCAAGCGGAAGCCGAGGCTGCCTACCCTGGTCATGATGAACAGCCTAGAAACCCCACAGGAACAGTTCCCCTCTGTCAGGTAGGGTCCCTAGGAGGTCCTGGGACTCGGAACCACTCGATGGCCATGAAGCAAGGGACTGCTGGCCACAAGATGGGCATTTTAACCCAACAGGCTCCTGGCAGAATAAAAACAATGCTTTTTGCCCCTGTAATGTTTAATAGGCCCGGAAACCCACAGGGGAGAGTTCATTTCTGTTCCACAGAGACCCTCAGAGTCAGAATGGAGTCTGTTGACACTGAAGGATTCCTGCTGTCTCTGTTGGGTCAGCAGGGAGCTGCTCACCATGAGGTTGATGGTTTCAACCCAGCAGACATGTTCCGTGAAGAGATGACGCTATTCAGACCCAACAGCCACCCTAGATCATGAGTGTGGCCTGGCAATCATTCGGGGAGCAGACCGCCTCATCGTAATTTGAAGCGCAGTCCTGGAGGTTAGCCCCCCAG